TAGCTGTGTACATTAATGCAAACATAGGGTACAGTGTAGTGTTTTCATATACAATTTGAAATATTTTCATCAAACTGGTTAACAGAGACTTTATGTCATTTACTTAGTTATTGTGTTTAGACATTTATACTCTAGTTTTAGAAAGATTCACTTATACCCTTATAAGACAGACCATAGAGGTGATCTTTCCAATCACCCTCCCTCCATCCATCCGCCTTTCTCCCCTCCCTCACCCCCTCCCTATTTTCTATATTCTTCAGGTTATTTGTGGCTACTGTATCAGTATGGTGGAAACAATATATTGTTATGCTACTGTAGACACTTCCCCATTTCATGTTTGGTGACATGCTGGCAGTTTGAAATTCATGGTGAGAACATTTATATACCATGGGACATGGAAAAAAGTAACAAACCACAACTTGAGTCATTGTATTGTTGGCTCATCTAGAATTTGAAAGTGATAGAGGATGGTAATAATATAGATTAAACTTAAAAATATATGGTCCGGGTCGGCACCTGTGGCTCAAATGGCTAAGGTGCCAGCCACATACACCTAAGGTGGCAGGTTCGAATCCAGCCCAGCCCGCCAAACAACAATGATGGTTACAACCAAAAAATAGCCGGGTGTTGTGGCAGGCGCCTGTGGTCCCAGCTACTTGGGAAGCTGAGGCAGGAGACTCGCTTGAGTCCAAGAGTTGGAGGTTGCTGTGAGCTGTGATGCTATGGCACTTTACCCAGTGGAACAGCTTGAGGCTCTGTCTCAAAAAAAAAAGTGTGTGTGTGTGTATATATATATACACATATGGACCATATATATATGGTCCATGTGGTCAACATATTGGATATGGCACCAAAAAAAGAAAGAAAAGAAAACCACTGAACCACTGTGGCATTTAAAAACAATTGTTGGCTCAGCACCTATAGCTAGAGCAGCTAAGGCGCCAGCCACATACACCAAAGCTGGTGGGTTTGAATCCAGCCTGGGCCTGCCAAACAATAATGACAACTACAACCAAAAATTAGCTGGGCGTTGTGGCAGGCACCTGTAGTCCCACCTACTTGAGAGGTTGAGATGAGAATTGCTTGAGCCCAGGAGTTGGAGGCTGCTGTGAGCTGTGATGCCATTGCACTCTACCTAGGGTGACAGCTTGAGGCTCTGTCTCAAAAAAATAAAAACAAATTATTCCTTATGGCAAAAGAAGTCACATCACTAAAGAATGAAATTCCAACATAAATCTTTGTTGATTCATTATCTACTTACTTGTTAATGAAAAAAGAAATAGTCAAAATTTGTTAACATATATAAAAGATATGAACAGATTTTACTAAGGAAGTTATACAGGTGACAAAAAAACAAATGAAGATGCTCTACATAATGAAACATCAGGGAAATACAACAGTGAGATATGGCTACACATCTATTAAAGAGTCAAAATTTCAAAACTAACCATATCCATTTGGCTAGCCGCAGTGGCTCACACCTGTACTCCTAACACTCTGGGAGGCTGAGGCAGGAGGACTGCTCGAGCACAGGAGTGCAAAACCAGCCCAACCAAGGGCAAACCCCCCATCTTTACTAATCTAGCCGGGTGATAGCAGACTCTTGTCTAAAAAAACAAAAACAAACCAAAAAAACCCTAGTGTATTGGCAAACATATGGATGAATTGGAACTATAATACAGGGCTGATAAGAATACAAAGGGAGGCTCGGCACCTGTGGCTCGGCAAGTGGCTAAGGCACCAGCCACATACACCTAAGGTGG